CGCGATCACCGCGGACACCACGGCGGCGGCGGAGCCGATCTCTTCGCCGGGCATGGAGCCCCCGGAGCCGGCGGCCAGCTGCTGCCCTCTAGCATAGCCATCGAAGCTGCTCTGGAGCGGGTGGTGGGTGCTGTTGATCAGCGCTTCCACCGCGTCCTCGGGGCTGAATCCCAACGCCTCTGGGTTGAGCTGCTGCGGGTAGCCGGTCATCCAGTAATAATCTTCCAGGTGGGTCTTCTGGTCCGTGCCAGAGCCCGGGCTGGGCGCCGAGAAGCTCGGGGAAGGGGGCACCGAGCTGCAGGGCGTGCTCATCGGGGTGGAAGAGAGGGATCCCCCAGCGATCAAGCGGCCGCACTGGCTGATAATGCGATCGGTCTCCACCGGCTCCTTTTTCACTTCAAACTTCATCAGATCGAAGTCATTAACATATTCCATGGCCAGGGGACTGGTGGGCAGGTCGGAGTTGCTCATTGCCAGTTCTGATGCCATCCTTTTGCTGCTGACAGTCCTCCAGAAAGGGTGCACGCCAGGAGCGAGGGGGCTGCTCGGAGTTGCCGCCGGGTGAGCCAGCTTGATGATTTGCGAGGGCTATTTTTCCTCCTCTCTCTCTCTCTCTCTCTCTCCTCTCTCCACCAGCCCCTTGCAAAGCCGCGCTCCAAATTGCACCGCTGCTTCTCGCTCCCGCTTCTCCTTCGCAGAGTCTCGGAGACTGATGATGCATCAGCCCCGAGCGCCTCTTTCTAGTCGCCTTTTTGCATCAAGGTTGGAGTCTCTCGCAGCTGTTGCTGCAAATAAGGTTGCTTGCTTTTTTTTTTTTTTTTTTGTGCTCGGTGGTGGTTGGTTTTTTTGGGGTGGGGGGGTTGGTATTAGTCTTAATTTTTTTTTTTTTTTTTTGGTTATTTTTAACACTTCATCCTTTTCCTCGGGTCTTTTTTCATCCCAAGTGCAAAGCCAGGAGAGGTTTCATCGGGGAGAGGAGGGGGGGGAAGAAAAAAAAAAAGAGGAGGAGGAGGGAAGGAGAGACACACGCGCAAAAAAGAAAAAGAAAAAGAAAAATTCAAAAAAAAAGGAAAAAATAATAATGAAAAAAAGGCAACGTGGTCACTCGAGTCGGAATAATCATGAAAAGGGGGTGAAGGAAAAAAAAAAAAAAGGAAAAATAAAAGGGAAGAAAAAAAACAACACAAAAATCAAAACTCTCCAGCCCAAAGCTACGGCGAGAAGATGAAAAATATTTTCAAAAGGTTTCATCCGGCCGGAGAGTTTAAAAGCATTGCTGAGTTTTATAGCGGTCTTGACGTCAGGCTTCAAATGGGAAATGGACTCCGCGGCCGGGCCAATGGGCGGCCTCGCTCCCGGCCCTCATTAGCATAATAGTATAGAAACAAGGAAACTTTTCCGAGCTGTCAATCAGCGGCAATCAGCTGACTGTCAGCTGGGAGGGCCGCTTAACCCCTGCGCGCCCGGCGCCGCCCCCGAGCCCCTCTCCCGGGTCGGGTTTGCGGGCCGGGGCAGAGCTGCCTGAGCCCCGCACTGGCCCAGCCCCTGGCACTGGCACTAGCAGGGGGGCTGCTGCTGGCATCCCCCCTCCACCCCAGGACGGCTGCCCCTGGTGCGATGCATCTCCCCCTGTGTCTTTTGACTTTTTTTTTTTCCCCTCCTGGGGAGGGTGGGGGGAGAGGAGCTGGCTGGGAAAACTGAAAGCAAAATAAGTGAGTGCATTTCCACCTCGACAGCGACACCTTTCGGTCAAGGTCAGTTTCAAGTTGATCCCTGGCCAGTTTTGCTGGGAGGAATTAAAAAAAAAAAAAAAAAGCCAAAAAAGCCAAGTCCTGGAGCTGGGCAACTCCCCCTCCCCTTGCCACCCACTCTGCCCCCAGGCTGCTTCTGCCACAGGACCGCTGTGCCACCCCCGGGAGAGGCTGTGCTGCACAGGGACCCGGGGTGACCGGCTGGAGGCAAGAAGAGCAGCATCTTTAAAGCTGCCAGCCTTGATTTTCAAGGGGCTTTATGGCAATATCAATAGAATTAAAGTTCCTTGTAATTCCGTGATAAATGAGATGTCTCTAGTAAGTAAGATTAAGTGCCGCGCTATAAAGTTGTTTATCTGAAAAGTAATTCTCAGAAACCTGACTTCTGACACTTAGTCATATATTAAACCAGCTTCTTGAACATTGCACTCCAGAACCTTTCTTCTCCTCGTCTGGCTCACCCAGTCCCTTCCCCGCTCGCCATGGCTATTTATAACACCACCTAGAATATTACTTAGAGGGTGCAGGACTTTTTTTTCCCCCCGGATGGTGGAAATCGTCATTTCCAAAAGCCAAAGAATCTCTTCTTCCCGCAATGGCTACTATCCTGACGAGAGATAATATCTCCGGCGTGTGCCCTTACTGATTATCAGCCCCATGATGAGTTGGTGAAAGTCAGATTGTGCCCTCAGCCCCACTTGAAAGAAGTTTGGCGTGCCACAAATGTAAAGATTATTCAGTCCAGACATGGGCACAAGAGTGTTTTAGAGAACTGTTATACAAGCAAAGCTCCACCACCAGCACACACACACACACACACACACACACACACACACAAAAAGCTGTGGTTGTCTGTTAGGTGTAGCTTAGAAATTCATATTCACACAAAAAGTGAATACAACTTAATGATTCAGGCTTGCTGCCCTCTGCTTTCTGACATGGTTGGAGCCATCAACAAAAGTTAGGCAGGCTCGTAGCATAAATCCCCAAAGGACAATCTAATTCCCTGTATTTGGTTTCTTCTTGAGCAAGACAAATGAGTTACAGTATATCACTTAACGTTCTCACCTGGGTGAGACATAAAATGTGGGTTAATATTTTTAAATGAAAAGGTTATTGCTTTGCAGAATTTACAAGTGGAGTATTTCACTGGCCCCTTCGATAGATGTCGGAGGAAATATGTCTTTAGACTCATAAACTAGTTTGTTTAGACATGAACATTTAAAGTGCTACATTTGCAAAGGAGTCCACTCCAAACCACAGACAAACGAGTGGGGAACGGTGCGAGTGAAAGGGGCACCCTCTGTGCTGCAAAAGGGACTGGAGCTCTGCTCTGCTAGAACATCACATACAATTATTAGTTGTGCAACACTGTCCTTGTACACATCTGACTGCTACGCCACTATGTTTCTGCCATGCAGCACACGGGGAAGGGGGGGGAGGGGGGGCATTATTAGCAATTTCTGGATAACCTTCAAAAGCAGCTTGGGGTTTTTTTGGACATTGTTGGAATCATCAACAAAAGTTACACAGGCAAAAACCTCCTCCCTGCAGTATATAATTCTCATTTTAGGAGTATTTTTCTTTATTATTTGGCTATTCACAATGGGTGTCTAAACATTTACAGTCCTCTATTAACAGCGTTTCTTTGCTAACAATCGCACACTTTCATTTCAATTAGAGCTATTCAGCCTTCAGTTTTTCTACAATTATTGCAGGCCAAATTCCCCCAGACTGCTCCCTTTTCCCTAGCCCTGTTACAATCCTGTCCTACTCTCCAAGCAGAGTAAAATCGAGACGGTTCTTTTCCTATTCTCTTGATCACTCTTAGGGATCTCTGTCGAACGGTGTAATTTAGAGCCCTGTACACTAGTTGTTATTGACCTGGTTCACAAGCTTTCTGAGACTGATGTATTTTTACTGCAGGAGGCTATTTTTGTTTGACAAGCCATGCACTGGAATGTGAAACATTAACAATCAAAATGCACACAAATTGCACAACACTGGTACAGGCTTTACAAGTGCACATGAAAAATGTTCGGATCGGCACGCAGTCTGCGTGTGTTTGGGTGCATGTGTACCAGCAAAGGTTTAGAACGAAAGTAACATGCGTGTTGCCAGCTGTATTGACTGGAGGTGCAATTTGTTATAGCGCACACAGATCCAGAACAAACATTAAGTAAAGTTACTGCACCTCTTGTTTATCTAGTGCTTTATTTTATGGTGCAGAACTAAGAAGTGTCCACTGAATTTAACTATGAAACCAGCCAAATTGATTTCAGAGAGACTTCCTCAGACTAACAGAATGATAAGGCATAAACTGTTCTTAGGTGCGGTGCTAGATAAATCCTTTTAACAGTCTTCAGATCAGTTAACAGGGTAAGTAAATCACAAATCACTGTTAGCAGATTTATGGGAGAGAATTAATAGAATCAGAGGAGATAATCTGATAGGGATAAAATTGCTGAGGAAACAGTCCTGCCGTATATTCCAGGATATGAAACAACAGTCTGATTACTAGGAGTCATTATGGATAGGTGAATTATAAGCTAAATCATCATCATAGTAATTTGGTATTTATTAATTCTTTTCTCTCTAAACAACTCACAGATGCAAGTAAAAAAAAACAACCCCTCTCTCTCTGAAGCCAGGTTCTTTATATATTTTATTAGCTGTAATTTACTATTGCGTTACCTGTATTTACTTCATAATTGTACATTTTGCATTCAAATTTATGTAATGCATTATGCTTGAGAATATATTTTTCCCTTATTAGCATAAATAGTCACTTACCTCATGAATTACTAACAAAGTTTATCTGAAAATATAGGTATATTTTGTATTAAGTGGGACGCAAACATATGCACAATAAATTCTGATTTGCTCCTGGTGGTAAAGAGATACATAGCCATCCTGTGCTGGAGAAGCACGAGGAGGAAAAAGCATGTGAGAAGATTCAATTAATACTTATATCTGACCATAATTTCTGCTGTCATCAGTTCTGTTTACCTTTAATAAAGATAAAAGGTGTATTTTAAAGGCAGGAGCTGAGAAAAAAAAGAAAGGGGGGGGAAAAAACCCAGCCACAGGGAATTTATAGCTGCATTTTCCCTGTCCTCACCCCACTCTGCTCCATACATGGACGGATATATTGGGAGTGTACTGCCGGACTATGGATTGAGTCTGGTTTTTACCCAAACAAGGCTTCTCTGGACCCAACCCTGCTCAACAAATAATTAAACTGGAATGGCTCTAAAATCACCGTTTTATCTTCTCTGCTTCTTTTCTTCAAGGGTCTGGAAATGCAGCTAATTAGTAACATTCAGGCCAGTTCTGCTGCTCCTGTTCATCCTTACTCAGCCCAAGAGTACCACTTTGGCTTTAAAAACTGCAGGATTGGACCCTTGATGCCACTGAGATCAATGACAGATCATCCCTTGATTTCAGTGGGAGCCGGATTGGGTCCGTGATAGGTGCAATGTGTGTATGTCAAAAGCTGGGTGCTACTGAAAATGAATTAAATCAGCAGACTCCTCCTGCAAGAAGGCCTCTTCTCATTGAAGTCAAAGGCAAAATTCCTAGGGATCTTAATAAAAAAAGGATGAGCCTGATATTGAAGTTCTTATCATCCTGCTAGATATTGTGTGCTAACATGCATGTATATTTTGTTTGGACACAGAAGCATGGCCTCATGGGAGCATTCAAATGAGCATATCCATAAACGTAGCACGACAAAACAAGCTACTTTTGCCTCTCTCCGTTTTTCTTGAGCCCGGCACAATCCATTTCTGTGACTACGGCTTTTCTGCC